GCATTCAACTACAGAATTTGCCATAGTTGAATTGGCCGTATTATTGAAGAGGTTCTGGAAAGCACCATAAAAAGTGTAATGCCTTTGTTTTTGCCGCAGCCTTCTGAAGAGAAGTTTAAGGAAATAGAAAAGAACTTCTCAAAGATGTGGAACTTTCCTAATTGCCGTGGTGCAATTGATGGCAAGCACATTAGGATTGTTTGTCCGAAAAACAGCGGAAGTGCCTATTACTGTTATAAGGACTATTTTTCAACAGTTTTGTTGGCACTTGTTGATGCGAATTACTGTTTTATCACAGTAGATGTTGGCTCGTATGGAAAGGAAGGTGACAGTACAATTTTTCAAAGATCTAACCTAAACAAAAATCTTCAGTCAGACACTATTACCCTTCCAAAACCTAAGAACCTTCCGGGAACTAAAATTTTGAGCCCACATGTTTTTGTCGGGGATGCTGCATTTGCATTAACCTCGGCAATGCTGAAACCCTTCCCCGAAAGTCAAGCACAAACAGATGTTGAAAAGGCACGTTATAATTACAGATTATGCAGAGCTAGACGGACATCTGAAAATGCCTTTGGTATTCTGTGCCAGTATTTCAGAGTGTTTTTTACCCCAATTGCGTGTAAAATTGAAACTGTCAGTAAACTTGTGCTAGCAAGTTGCATCTTGCACAACATGCTGCGCCAAAGAAAAATACCATGTCCCTTAGAACCAAAAAAAGGAACAAACATGGTAATGCCAGACAAAAATTTGACAAATCTTGCTGCAACAGGATCGAAACATGCATCTTTCAGAGCCGAGCATATCCGGCAAAATTTTTCCCAGTATTTCAGCAGCAAAGAGGGTGATCTGAAATGGCAAAATAATAAAATAACACGCACTGCTTAATATGTTTCATTTAACTGTATCAAATCATAATCACTTTAATTTCAATTTTAGATATTCTCCATTTTAAAGTCTTTTTTTTTTTCTTTTCAAATTCTATTTCCCTAAGTTTGTTCTAAGCTGCAAAAGAAAAATTTAAGTTATTAATTTCACTTTAATGCTAATCTTCACCTCTCTTTCCATACAAAACCGAGATAAAAACAGTAATTTGCATCATCAACAACTTTAATTTCTCAATCTAATTTCGTGTATTTTTTATTCCAATTATTTGTTCTTACTTTTTGCTGAATTTTGTATCCTGTTGTTATATTATTTTTCATTATATCTTGAATATATATATATTTTTTAATCATGAATCTGTATACTTTTGCTTGTTTTATTTTTTTACTGACTTGTATTCATCTGAAACTGTGAAATTCTTAAGATTTTTTTCTTCTTCTTATAGTTCATCTTGTTATTTATAGACTTCAAATTTCATGAAAGAAACCAATTGATTATTTTTTGTGACATCGAAATATTTAATTGTTCATCTATGTACTTTGAATAAATTGTTATTTACCTTTTATATATTGAGGTATTTGAAAATTAAGTACATAAATATATTGAGGGGTCGCAGTACCATTGCAATTTTTTTTTTAAGTAAAAGTATNTATTTATAGACTTCAAATTTCATGAAAGAAACCAATTGATTATTTTTTGTGAACACTTTTATCTTAATTTTAGCTTTCATCGAAATATTTAATTGTTCATCTATCTACTTTGAATAAATTGTTATTTACCTTTTATATATTGAGGTATTTGAAAATTAAGTACATAAATATATTGAGGGGTCGCAGTACCATTGCAATTTTTTTTTTTAAGTAAAAGTATAATCATTCATTTTGTGGATGTTTTGCATGCTCATTTCACTTATAATCAATAATTTATCTTTAATTATTTTTTAAACTGCTTAATTTTTTAAAATTAAAAAAAATCTTAACAATTTTGTTCATTCGTTAATATATCA